CTCAAGTACTACACACTGGTGGATGAACTAAGTGCATGTCCACACATTAGTAAATTCATCATGAAGAAACAAATTATATATTAATTTATACTACATCAATAAGCATTGAGAACACAGATGGATGGGGACATTGGTTGAGGATTGAGTAATTTTCTTCCTGGGATGCAGTTAATAACAGATCAGTACCTGGGCAAATTGTGTCCTGCTTGTGGCCAGTTGGTTATCTTTATACTCCGATACCAAATAACCTTCTCAAGCTTGAAACAGCAACATTCTTCATCTTCAGCATTCCTTTCAGAAGAAAAAAATTCTAAGTTGGATACAGTGTTGCTTTGCAGATCCAGCTTCCTTGAGAGAGAAGAATCTTTCAGAAAGGACTTAAAGGAATAGAGAGGAGTCCAGCCCCAGTTCCATCCCTGTGATTGTGATGATGTGGCCCTGTGTCACATTAGGATAATGTGAGGTCGACTTATGAAAGACTGTGGCTTCATTACTTAGTGTGTCCAGGATGACTTATTGATGCCTTGGGATTTTAATTAAAATGCATCCTTAGCCCTTTGTTCATAGTCCATGGGCTGCAGTTGGGTTTACCCAATGTTCCTCTTTTTACTCTCTCGTTCATCCTGCCCTGCTTCCTAGACCTTCATAAGCCTGATTCAGAACTTTCTTCACCTTTAAGGACCCCTAAACCACATGCTCTGGAACTTGACTGCTGACTGGGGAAGTCAAAAGATTCTGTTCAGACATTGAAATTTCTCTCTCTCCACTCTCTCATACTGCCAGGCCAGATAAACACAACTTTTGGTGGCCATTGGAATTCTTGGGGATGAGGAGACTTTGATCAGGCTTCTAAATCACAGATGAGGGCTCCCCACCCCAAAGGTGTTAGTGCTATGGATTTAAGATGGGAACTGTGATTTTGCATTCTTCTCTCAAAATGATGTCTGTGCTGCTGATCTGGAAAACCAACCCCAGGCCTTCACCCATTTGAGTTCCCTCTGTTCTGTGTTTGTTAAACATAGCCACAATTTATTCAGATAGATGAGTCTTCATTGTGCTTTTTAGGTGATTTTGAATTATTTACTTTATTACAGTTATATGAAACCCTATGTCAACCTAGCTTAGTTGTTGAAATCTCTCATTGAAACCTCTTATTTTTCACAATGAATTGGCAAGGTGAAAATGTGCAGGATGACATACTAAGGGACAAACATCCAGAGCATAGTCCATTTATGTGTCAGCCTTTATTGTCACAGTGCTTGTTCTTCATGGTCTCTTAGCCCTCCTTTCCGTCCTCAAGCATTGGGTTCACAATGTTCTGTCTGACTCTGGAGTAAGCTCCATAGTGCAGTAACAGGTGAAGAAGACCGGATTAAGTAAGTTTCCCACCAAGTCAGAGCAGGAAGGCATGAAAACAAGAGAATACAGGGGCATGCACAAGGGGCTGTAGTGGAAACGACCTTGTGCCTGGACTATGGGCTATGCTATGTGCTATGCTGGGGGAGCAGCAAAGAGGTTCCAGAAGCAGATCTGACAGCCAATATGGACTTGATGGCTTAAGCAAAAAGAATAACAATTATGCTAGTAATAATATGTCAGTGGGTTTTCCTTTCGTTGTTAATTAGTTTCCCTACACCTTTCAATTAAAGAACTATGAGTTTGTAAGGCTTTGAACAAAAATAGGGAACCAGGCTACTCAATGTTCATATAGGAAAGTATTATATGCTTTATCTGGTAGGCATACTTATAAAATTATTTTGTCATCTGATAGAGTTGTAGAAATAGTTTGGGGCAACTGAATATTAAAAGAATGTGCAAAGCTGCGTGTTCTGGACCAAATGAAGCGTGATCTGATGTCACATAAAACCAGCTGTGAAGAGATTCCATTGCAGAATCATCTAGAAGGAGGGGCGTTGCATGAAAGCTCACCAACTTCTTCCCAGCCTTTCTGGACCCACTACTACTGAGATCTGTTGTGTGGTACTTAAACTCAGAAGCAGGGACTTTCTGTAGCATCCTGAAAATCCAGGCCAGGCATCTTCTCAGGAAACCTATCTCATATTTATGAAATGAACACATAAGATTGGACTGAAACTATGTTGCAATGAGTGTGGTCATTGGCGTTAGACAAGGTCAAGGTGGCACACGTTTCAAGTACACAGCCCTTTAGCTCACTGTCCAATAGAGTTGAGGCTTGCCGCTTATAAGTCAGGAGCAAATTTATAGGCACCACTGACCCCTGATGGTTCATCTGTAAAACTGGAATAATGTTATGCAATTTTATTCAGAATAAAATAAGATATGTCAAAAATGTTTAGCATAAATACATGATTACTAGAAGAACAGGAAAATGGTCCCAAAGAACATGTTTAATATAAATGTGATTTAATGTAAATGCACATTTACTTTAACTGTAGCTTAGTCAATCCAGAGACTACAGGGTACTGTATTACCTAAAATAGCTTAGGATATATTATAGGAGTGGCTTTATAGTCTTCAGTCCTTTGGGACAGGTCTACTCTGTGGATCAAGAACCACTGTTTGCCAAACTGTCAACCAATCAGTGCCCTGGGAGATCAATATGGCGACAGCTCAGCTTTTATTTGTTTATGGTGGCTCAGATTAAGCTAGGACCCTGATCTCCCAAACATAACATCACCGAGAGGCTGGTTGAAACTTTTCAATAATTATTGAAACAAGAAAATATTTTGTTTTAGTTAGATAAACTCATTTATTCAAGCCAAGTTTTGAAAACTTGGAAGTTTCACAGTGATACTTTTAATTAATGCGAAATCAAATGGAGTAGCCAAACCCCATACCATGGTACCCCTACCAAAGTAAATGAATAAATGAATACGTAAATGCAAATTAAAAATAGGAGTACAGTTCTTAAATTTTATTGCCAGGGATAATCAGCTCTACAGGCTTAAAAAAAATTTTAAATTTAGAATATACATGAAACTGCCTCTTCTGAAGTTTTGTAAATTAAGCAATATCATAATCAGTCAAAATGATACACTGGAAACCAGGCTGCCTGAGCCAAAAGCTTCTAGCTACGCTAGGCATCAACTAGAGGTTTTACAAGCATTAGCCTCATCTAACCCCACAGCTCGATGACGGGTCTGGAATTTACTAGGGGAGGAGGGACAAAAAATGGGCCTTGAAAAGATTTGCCACTTCCCTGAATCTTTCTCCTGTTGTTTATTCAGGTTTGTAAATGCCAAAGCATGGATCTGAACCCAGTTTCTATGGTAGTTTGTCTCAGTGGTTTAAATAGGTTATCTAATTATGGACTAGCTTTCACGTGCCTATGGTCTGTTTCTCACTGTCCAACAAGATAGGCCTAAAGTACATGGATGTCCTGTTAGCAAGATGCCCAGAACCCTGCCTGCAGGTATAGTGGTCACTTCACAGTGCTTAGAGGTCCCTGCGCCTTGGACATCTTGATGGATGATTAGAGGCTGGGTGATCTCTATATCAAGGTGGCCCTGACTTAAAGAGATGGTGGTACATTCCTGAAACTTGGGCTAATAACCAACCTACTGGGCCTCAGGAAGACGAGTTGGGTAAACAAACAGAACAGTGAGTGAGCTTTGCTGCAGGCAAACCTGTTATGGCCTTTCATATTTTCCTCCTCATTTCAGACTCTAAGCCCTTTGCCCTTTACCTGGCCTGGAAATTTTAATTGCTAGTCAATTGTGTGTGTGTGTGCGCGTGTGCATGTGTGTGTGTGTGTGTGTTCCTTAAATTAGCTTTAGGAAGGGTATGTAGAACTGGAGTGGGGAGACCAGCTAGGGTCCTCTATTGCTAACTGTGTATCCTAAAAATAAAGTTCAAAAAACCATTCTAAGATATATATGTCTGAAAGTTGTATTCATGCATGTACATAAAATATATGTGGTTTATGCATAACACATGCATGGTGCCTATGCATTATCAATAAGAATCCCAACAGAGATACCATCATCTCTGTTCCCAGATGAGGAAGCTGAATTATGGGGGCAGGGCGGGAGGTGGAGTGGCTGTACAAGATACACACAGAGAGAGATATCGAGTTCAGGGCTCTGAGCGTTCCCATAGACAGAGGTGCCTGTATGAGTGGCTGTTTTCTGAATAATTCAGGAGGACCAGATTCTTGAAGTGACTCACACTTGCCATTAAGAGCCTTAGGTAGAAATTTGGCTTAGGGAAAGCACTGGAGTAGGATTCAGGTCAATAATAGCATAAGCATTTATGGGGTGGATAGTGTTTTAACCCAGCTTCCGCCAGTTGAAAACTGTATGCATTTGAGGACAGGAGCTGAATCTTATCCTTATATAACCAAGAGAAGATGGCATCCCACTGTTCACAGAGATGCCATGAAGGCAGATGACATCGTGGGTGTGCTGACATCTGGAAACATTTGAAACGTTACATAAATACTCAGATATGATTACTTACATGGTTGGTCATGCTTTGCGGCTGCTACACTGAGGTTCTATTAGCCTGTGCCCAGTGTTCCTTTCGTTCATTTGTGCTGTCTAAGTGCACGTTACAAACATGCTCATTCAGTTAATGATCCTTGTCCTGGATCAATGAAATCTGTTACATTCCTCCTGGGAATAGGATTCTCTCTGTTGATGACTTCATATACCGTGTGTTATGCCACTATGAAATCCCTTCTATTTACACTTGAAAACTCTCCCACCCCGAGGAAGCAGACTTTAAAGCTCCCTCTAAGCATCCTATCCAAGCATCATCAGAGATGCTCAGAGAGAAGTCTCATCTAAGTCGGAGCCAGACTCCCGTTTACAGATAGGAAAACGGAAGGGCCATTGACAGAGGCTTACATGATATCACATAACCAGTCAGGACCATGGATCAACACCAGGGTCCTGAACATGACACAGTCTGGAGAGGCTAAGGACATCTTGGTTTGTTTCTTTTTGTGTTTTGGAACTGACAGGTCTTTTGAAATATACCCAATGCCTTCCTAAGTGTTTGTTCTCTGCTACTTACAGGAGACGACTGCACAAGCTGGGCGTGTCAAAGGTGACCCAGGTGGATTTCCTGCCTAGGGAAGTAGTATCCTACTCCAAGGAGACACAAACTCCTCTTGCAACTCATCAGTCTGAAGGTAAATGATGGCTTTGTTTTCTTTATGTACTATGTCTGCAGAAACTGCCAGGGAATAGCATTGACCTCAAGTTCCAGAGGTCTTCATAGGATATAACCTGAGTGACACCCTAAAAGCCAAAGATGCCTTTGTCTCTGAGTTAGAAGGTTTGCTGAGAGAATCCTTTCCTATTCTTCCAAGAGGTCTATGAACTTGTAAGTGTCTGATCTTTGTGTCAAGTTTCTGTGCTATCTGCAGATGGTGGAAAACATAAAAGTAATGAATAGACACTTTCATGGTACACACAGACAGACACACATGCATATAAATAAAAATTAAAAACCTAAAAAAAATTCACCATTTGTAGAAGCACCAACTGCAGCCAACTTCCTCTTCTAAAATCAGAATATAGCCAGGAGGTGGTGGCGCACTCCTTTAATCCCAGCACTTGGGAGGCAGAGGCAGGCAGATTTCTGAGTCCGAGGCCAGCCTGGTCTACAGAATGAGTTCCAGGACAGCCAGGGCTACACAGAGAAACTCTGTCTCGAAAAAAAACCAAAATAAATAAATAAATAAATAAATAAAATAAAATCAGAATATTACTGGGACACAGATGTTTCCAAACATTACACCTATGGCTAACATTCATGCTATAATGGCCTGGTTGAATAGACATGAAGACCTTAGCTGGTTCACAAAGCCTAAATTTTGGATCTAATCCTTTATAGGAAACGTTTCCTGGACCCTGATTTTCTGAGCAACTCACATAAAAGCACACAGGTTAACAGTATTCTCCATGTGTAGATGAGTGGGGATGGAATTGTGTACCTCTTTTATGCATACCAGAAAATATCAAGAGGAAAGTTTGTATGTAAATCTCAGAGAATCGTTAAAAGTCAATGCGACAGTTCATCACAACATTTAACTTGACACCGTGAGAAGCAAACAAACAAACAAAAAGAAGTATGAACATCACACTGAAATAAGATTATATGAAAATTAGGGAGATGTGTATACAGAACAATCGGGTAGGTATGGTTCTGCTGTTGGAAAGTGGTATTGCTCATAGAGCAAAGCTAATGGTCTTTGTACTTCCTGTGTGTGTCACTGGGGTGAGGAGGAGGATGTTAGATTTTTGAGTTCATCTTGCTGTATAGGAAATGTTGAGCAGAATCCTAGTTAATGAACTACATTAGCGTGTCATACTTGGTCTGTAACAGACACGAATGGTCTGTAACAGACATAAACCAGGGCAGCTTGGTTTGTGCCAATCACAGAGATTTTTCCATTTGGGTTCTCAACAAATAATCTCAAAAAAAAAAAATGAAGTGAAATCTTGTTCCTTGAAGTTCAGGTTTTCTGCATATCTTCTGGAAAGCTGTGCTCAGTAATGGAAGTTTGTAGGGCCTATGAGGCCCTGGGAGGAAATAGCAAATTTTAGATGCAAACAAATAGCACCCTCTGGTGGTGAAACTTTAAACAAACTAACCAGCAAACTAAGACCGGTGTATTAACTTGGCAGGAAAGGCCCTGCTGGAAATACACTTCAGGAGCCCTGTCCTTGGGCCTTCAGACAAAATCGATGGTGGTGTGGTGGTGGTGGGATCATTAAAAGGCAACCTCACTACCCAGCCAAAACATTTGTTTGAGTTAATTTGCTGCCAGAGGCATTTGCAGAACTGTAACCAGAGGTGTGTTTGTTTAGCCCCAAATCTGACCCGAAACATAAAGTGATACATGTGAAATAGGAGGAGTGAATTATTTTTAAGAACATGTATACTTAAGGTACTGAAATGGTACAAAAATGTTTACAAGGGGAGATAAATTAAGGATGAAAAGGCATCAACTGTAAACTTCTAACGTGGAATACATCAAAAGGAAAAGCCCCGTAGAGTTCACTTTATTACTGTGGGGAGGTTGGGAGCCCTCATTATGCTGTGGTCCAAGCAGCAGGAAAGGAGGAATTTATTTCTTAGCAATTGGCAGAAGTTCTTTCTGTTTTCTTAACAAGATCCATAGAGCTTTCTTGTGGTGATGGTTCACATTCCACAATACAGAGTTGAACCCAAAGCTAGCTACCAGAGCCTACGGGAGCTCATGGTAGTAAAGTAACACTCAGCAAGTAGAGACAAGAAAACCTTCTTTATTGTCAACTCACCCCAGATCTTGACCCCTTGACCTTTGGCTGTGTGACTGTTGAGGGTGCCCAGGGCTTGCCTTTCACCTACTAGGTGATGGAACAACAAGGGTGAGCATAAGTGTCACTAGTGGGCAGTCCGCTATGAGGTCCTTCCAAATGGGAGACTTGGATTGGTGCCCAATTTAGTGTTGGTGCCAGCGCAATGATGTCATGACAAGAACAGCCTTACAGGGCGACTACTGATTTTTAAAGCACAGTGAGGCTCTTGGGTGGATAATGTTTGCAACTGTTGTGCATATAAATCCCATGTGAGTTCTTTATTAGCCATAATTTATAAAAGCTTTTATTTACATGGTTTGAAGACTGAAAATTAATGAAGCTCAAAGTTGCACCTTCAGAGCACTGATACACTCTACCTTGACTGTAATTCTAGTGCATTCACCCCGCTAAGCAAACATATTGTACTTAGACAAATATGGGGGAAAGAGTTTGGATTTGCCAGAACCTAAGCCTCCTTCTTCTACCACACACTATAATGAGCTTTCTCCCCATAGTGCATTAGCTAGTCACATAATGATCTGTTGTGAGAAATATCCCGAAATGATTTAAACTAGGAAGATTTAGGAGCCAAATCTCCATCAATACAATTCTTTCAAGTAGCTTAAGCCATCCTAGTCTGGATAGGTAATGACCTAACCAGTCACAGGGAAAGGTTGAGAATGGAGAACTCTGATCAGGAGCAGGCTATGTCTACCATCAAATACTTTAAACATATGCTTTTTATTTTCAAGTAAGGAAAGAATATGTGTAATTATATATATAATCTCTCTCTCTCTCTCTCTCTCTCTCTCTCTCTCTCACACACACACACACACACACACACACACACACACACACACGTAATTTATCTGCCAAACTGCCTTGGCTTTGCATATTATTTTCCTGGCTATCCATGAAACCCTGAGGTCTGAAACCAATCCTGTGTGTGTTTTTCACGATGAGTTAATGGTTGGTGAACAACAGGTACCATGCAGCTCAGGAGTCCTTGGGTTTTCACGGCCACTGGGCAGTGATAACATCTGAATGTGCTGGGAGGATGTCAGCTGAACTGGACAAAGGAAGATGCTTCTACATCCCATTGCTAAACTTGAAGGTTCTCTGTACTTCCTGTTCATGGGATCCGATACGTGGGCACTGGGGCTTTATCCTGTCCACCTGATGCCTCCACTCCCTCCTATCTCTGATTTCTTACTTCCAAGGAAAGCAAAGACTACTAGCCCTTTTCCAAGCACCCCTGAAGGCTTGTGCTTCTAAGTATGTTCTTATGCTGTTTTCCCATTTTGAGATGCCGCCTCCTCCATGTGACTTCGTCAGGAGCGTGCCCCAGGGTCAGTTTCTTACCATCATCAAAGACTGGTTCCTCTTGATTACTCTATATTGATTCTTCACATGCCTCTCCTAGGCTGTGATCTGCCTACTAGCAGGGCATGTGCCCTTTCCTCACTTTGTGCCTCACACGATGTCAGGTTCAAAGATACACTCACTAGACATGCAGATGAGCTAGAAGCATAACACGAACTGGAGCCTGATGAAACAGGAAATGGACATTCTTGTGTTTTATGGAGAGAGGAGGCCCATCCTTGTGAAACTGCACTGGTTTTTAGAGTCTTTGATAGACATGCTATAGAGGTAAGATTCTTCTTTTCAGGGGAGAGTGATGTTTCTCTTTCAGCCAGGCCCCTGGTCTGTCCTCAGATGAGCATAGGGATTGCTGCCCATAGTGTGTTGTCAAAGCTGAAGGAGAGAATTGTAAGGGGAACCTGGGTTGGCCCTGGATAGCGTCGAGCAGCCTGCAAGCTTCACTGTTCAGGGATGTCTTTAGAGGAACTTGGAAGTGGGTATGCAAGGAGGTAGCAAAGGAAAGCAGTAGTTCACCTTTGTATACTCCCCAAAAATATTTTCTGGGTAAGGAAAGAATTTCTACCTTCCCATGATCTTCAACCACAGAGGCTACAAACAAACATATGGTCTGGAAAGTCAAATAGTCTGGTTTAATGTTGTCCAATTCAATTATAAGCTGCCATTGATAATTTTAATAATATATTTTGGTTAACTTCATCCTTTCGAGATATTCAAATGTCAACATGTAATCAATATGAAATTATCAATGAAACATCACTCTTTTTTCTTTGTACATAAACTCAGTCTTCAAATAGTGATTTGTATTTTATCCTGGTGGCATATCTCAATTCATATCTCTCCTCTCTCTCTCTCTCTCTCTCTCTCTCTCTCTCTCTCTCTCTCTCTCTCTCTCTCTCTCTCTCTCCTGAATTTTATTAACTTTATGATTCATGTGTCACTGTTTTCCAGACACATTCAGACATTTTCCGGTAACAAAATCTAATGCCCATTTTTAAAGTTAAACCTAAATTAATTTTAGTGAGCTAAAAGTGCAAGTGCCTCCATTGCACAGCTAATACTCCAAAGGCTGAGTTGGGGCACAAGGTTGGTGCTCTTGTATTGGATAGCCCGGTCTCTTGGGACTCATCCTTTCATAAGTTCAAACTCGGAGAGCCAGGATACCCATGTGAGCTTCATTTCACCATCACTGGGGAGAAGGACCATAGTGAGAAGACCTCCCTGACACAGGGAGCATCAAGCAGGGTTAGACGGTTGAACAAAAGCAAGGTTATACCCAGCAGGGTAACTCACATTCTGATTTGAGACATTTGGATAGGCATCCCTCTCAAGCTGTCAAATGGAGCACCAGAAGTTGTGTAGGACATTGTTGGTTATCTTGGCCTTGATGGCTTCCTCTTTTCCTTCCTTCTCTGAGTCAATGAGTGATAGTAGTTGAGATGGAAGGCTAGCCTACCAACAG